GTACATAATAGATTTTTTGTTAAATTTCCCTTATTTTTATAACTTTTTTTACTATTTTTCTAAAAATGGATTCTTCCAAAGCTAGAAACATGTGCCACTTCTTCCAAGTAATTTTTTTTTTTTTTTTTTTTTTTTTAATGTTAACATTTTAGGATATCAACCTTATATCAGCTTTTTCCTTCTAAAATAACCCATCTATATACAAGTTGTGCACTATTTTGCATAGGGCAAGCTTTATATGCCTCCTGTACAGCATAAAACTTATATGCTTTCCCTTATACAACCGTCCATTATGAATGGACAACTGAGATGACCCCAATCACAATGTCACGTCTCTACACCATTTTATTTTTTATTTTTTTTAGAAATTATTTTGACACCAAAGGTTGGGCATCCGCTCCTCTCTTAAACTCACACTTGTAAAAAAATATAAAAAAATATTACCAAAAATAAAGTGATTAAAATATCCCTTAAAGGTTTAAGGGGTATTTTGATTGTTATATTTTATCGAAAAAAATTTTAAAATATTTTCCGTAGGCGTGCTTCATTTAGAAGATGATATATACCAAATTTCATATTCATACAATTTGGAGGAAAAATAATAAAAATAAAATACTCTAAGGTGTCGGATCTAGATCAAACAGTGTGTGGCTCACTTGATCTAAATTAAACAGCTGGATGGGAGGGGAAGCATATATTTTTTATGCGGTAGGAGAAGTATAGAAACATTTCCCTTTTGTATAAGGTGCTTCCCTTATACTATACAAGTAAGGTATACAATTCCCTTATACTATACAAGCAAGGTATACAATTCCCTTATACTATACAAGTAAGGTGTACAAAGTTCTAGAAGGCTTTGGTTTTGAATGCCATGAGGGGCATGTTATCCTTTGGGAAGGAGCGGGAGTTGTGGTGATGGCACCCCCACACCCTAGCCACCACAATGTGGTTTTCATTCTCACTGACAATACCCCACTAACACTTCAAAAACCTAACTCTTCGAGTATTTGGAAAAGAGAAAAATTACAAAAAAAACCCTCTAAAATGTACTATTTATGCAACTTAACCCCCAACCAACCTTTCCTCTCACTTTTTTCCCCACAATAACTTTTCCTCGCAAAAACCCTTCAAGGTAAAAACTTGTTATTTTTTGGACGGAAATGCCCTTCCCATACAAAAAAATAAAACTGGCAGTCCCAAGTTGCGCATTGCCAGAGCATAGAATAACACTGCCGGAGCGCTTTGTAATGATTGCCGGATCGGAATAGGTACTGCCGGAGCGCTGTGGCTCCAGAAGGTGTACTGCCAGAGCGCCTTCATCTACTGCCGAAGTGCCCTAATGCACTTCCGAAGCGCTGTGGCTCCAGCCCTACTGTCGGAGCGCATTCATAGAATGCCGAAGTGAAATGTCTCCAAAAGGTGTACTGCCGAAGCAAGATCACGTAATGCCGGAACAAATTCATCTACTGCCGGAGCGCTGTGGCTCCAGAAGGTCTACTTCCGAAGCGAATGTCTATATTGCCGGAGCACGTTTTTGTATCACCGGAGTGACATAATCAACTGCCGGAGTGCCCTAGCTCTAGAAGGTCTATTGCCGGAGCGAGTTTTCGTACTGTCGGAGTGCGTTGTCTTCGTTGCCGAAGAGAGAGAGAGAGAGAGAGAGAAAAGCAGTGTGAGAAAAGGTATTTTAGACTCTTTTTTTTTAGTTCTTTTTGGGTTGGGTGGCCTGGCACAGCCTAGTCAGCCTGGACCTAAAAATTTAGGGCACAGGACACAAAATGTGGAGCGAGGGCAAGGCAATTACGGCCCAAAGGTAGGGCCCGGCCTGTTGCAAAAAGGTTAAACCTTTCAGTTTTTACATTAAAAATTTGAGCGGTGGCAAAGAGTTAAAATTTTGAAAGTTATCTTTTAAAAAAATAAAACATAAAAATGTAGAAAGTTACATTGAAGTCTCAATCCTTTGCGTCGCATACAAAGAACCCCCAACATTTTCTAAGCTAACCATCTAGGTAGCAGCCACAAAATCGAATGCAATATTGCATAAATGATAAAAAAGATGAAATAGAGAACTTAGTTTTTGCTTGAATTAAACAAGAGAAACAACATTTGAAACAATCAAATGAATCAATATAATATAGATATATGAAAAAGAATACACTATGACTACCTACACTGGTACAAGAAGATCACCATTACTTTCAGCCATTCAATGTCCAATTGGGAGGTTGGAGGCGTATCATTGTATGGGCTTGAAGTCCAAAAACAAAACAAAACAAAAAGTTCTCGAACTTTATAAAACCCCTTAATCATTGAATTTCATATTGACTATTAAGAATAATTTACGACATGCTTGGAAGTAGTAAAAAAAGATATGGGGACTTATAACCTCATTAAGGGTTTGGCCCTTAATAGAGCATAATGACATATCAAGATTCGTGTAATCGATCCCAAGTAGTTGGAAAAATGCTTTGACAATGATGATGATGATGAATTAAGAGTAATTGTAACCTTTTGACGATCATGATGATGCTGAATTAAGAGTAATTGTGACCTTCTTGTACCAAAAATAGATAGCTTATAGTATATAACTCTTATAAAAAAAATATACAAAACCAACATAATCTATATCTTGACCCAACATCGACATTGCTCAATTGAAAGAAGACAATCCAGGAAACTTACTCTTGGGCCTCTCCAAAGAAGATGGAATGCAATCTCCATCATAGCTCCCATCCTCCAAAATTAAAAGTACCCTCAAAAGTGTAACGCATCCATTTCACCCCTTTTAAACACAATAAGATTTCAGTTATTCTAATCCATATCCCTAAAATTGTAGAATTTGGATTTAATTTCCATATAGAATATGTGAAACTTATAATGAAAGCCTCCTTGGGGGTTTCTTTAATGTCCCTACTTTGTATCTTAGTGTAGACACCTTTTTTTTTTCTTTTTTGATATGTTTCATCTTAGACTTAAAGGAGATCTATTTTATAGCATTTTTTCAATTAATTAGGATCGGTTAGTTTTGGCAGAATTTTACGTTGTTTATCTACCTAACACAATCCAGCCTTTTTACCTGAGCATGGGACAGATTAAGAGGAAGTTTAATATCATAGCGACCATAAAGAGTGAAATAGATCAAGGAGTATCATGACCCAAGCTCCCATGTTCCAGTGTTGTAAAGAGTGGCACAAGTGCCACACAACCAAGGGTTGAAGGGTCATGGGACCCACCTTCTTCTAGAGGCCATTGAAACCTTCCAAGCCAATATGACCTTTAATGCGGCAGCTTAGAGATTCAAATGGGAATCGCATTTCAAGTTTAGACAAATATGGATTAATCTATGTTCAAATTTATCCGGTCAAATTCAATTGGAATATGATAATCAGGGATATCGAATCCACGTGCAGTCCAGGTGCAAGGCTTGTAGGGCCGGTTTGGTAAATTGTTTTCATCGTTTTTTGAAGCGCATATACTATGCTCCCTCGGGAGCATACAATATATTTACTCCCGAGGGGAAAACAATAACTTAGGAGTTTTTTATTTTTAATTATTTGAAGTATTGGAATCTATCTAACAATAATTAGATGATTATTTTTAAAGAAAAAAAATAGATTTTGTGTCCATAAATATCTACATCATTCCCTCCAAAAATTGGAGGTTCCAGTACAATCTTGGGATTATATTTTGTTTAGGAACATAGAGATGGTATTTTGTTTAGGTACATAGAGAGTGAGAGTTGTTTTCTTTTCTCTCTTTGAAGTTGTTTGCTGGATTTTCGACATCACATCCTTAAACATTGAGATAAAAAAAAAAAAATAAGAAGATAGATTTCAAGTTTTGGAAATAGTGCATCTTATAACGTATTTTTTTGCCCTTTTTTCAGTTTTCATAGATCTGCTCGATCTATGCTCAATTGTCTTTTTTAAGGATGAAGTTTCTTTAGGGCCAATGCTTTATGAAAATAAAATAAAGCCTCACCTCAAATCCTCCTCCAGAAAGTACTTTCGTCATCAAAAATCTTCATGATGGCTCTAAAATTAATTTCCAACATTGGCAATAAAATTTGAAACTCAAAAAATGGTACAGATCTTGCAGATATGTGAACACTCATTTTTAGGGCGAAATGGATGGTTCAGATGATTTGTTGTAATATATACTATTTTTACAATTTCAAAT